CTTCTCTGAATGTGAAAGACATTTATGAGCCTCCTCACTGGGGAAGCATCTGAGGCCGATTCCTGCCTCTCCCTTCCCTTCCATGAGGGTCTCTCGTCCCCCTCCCTCGCCCTTGCCTCCTGGGCCAAGCTCAGATATCTCTTGCCTCGTTTATGGGCCATTGGGATTTTTTCCAACAACCTGAGATGAATCTCAAAGGCCCCACAGGTAGTGCAGCTCCGTCTCCGAGCCATAAACCACAGCTGAGTCTTTCATCTGTGACTGCTTATGTCATAAACGGGTGGGAGAAACATTGAGGGGGGAGCAACAGCCCTGAACCATTCCAGATTTTTTTTTTTTTACAAGAAAGGGAAAGGAAAGGCCCTGAGAAACATGTCCAAACTTTGTGCCAAGCAAATTCATTTCACTCTGGTAGGCTGCGCGTGGAGACTGGCTCTCTGGACTTCCCGGCTAGGAGTCAGATTTATGCTGTGTTTGTGTCTAAATGGCCTCCAGGGATGCTGACATTTGTTGTTGGAGAGCAGTGAGTGGTGTTCCTTTCATCTCCGCTGAGGGGTGTCAGCTTAAATTATGAGGGATCGCTCTGGCCTGCATGTGGGTGTGGGAGTCTCTGCAGCAGAGAGGGGCCACCTCTCCCTCCACTGCACATCTCTGCTCTGTTTTCAGGCCTTTCTTCCTCTTCTGCTCTCCAGATCTCCTGCCGATTCTAAGAGAAATCGCCCTGCTCTTTTAGAATGTTCGTTTCTCTTGGGCAAACTGATAAGCTCATATCTCAGGCACTGTATTTTTCATGGAGAAGTTGGGTTCTGAGTCAGGCAGGGCTCCTCTGCTGAAAGAGAGGACGGGGACCTCAGTGAACATCCCAGAAACAGCTTGGAAATTCCCCAAGAGAGTCAGAGGCCACCATGATGCTGACCACACAGCAGATAGATGCTGGGTGGTGGTCCGCATTCCTGGTGGCAGCCGGCAGCTGTCCGTATTTTGAGGGGTGTGAAGAGCCCCCACCCCGTACCTGTCCCCACTATCTTCAGAATCTCTTTCACTCAGATATGCCAGGACACCAGAAATACCACACTGGGGGCCAATAGGGTGGATGCATTTCTTATTAATGTGTTATTGATCATGGGGGAGACCAAACCATTCCAAGCTGCCCGCTGACCCCATGGTGTCAGGTGAGCAGTGCTTCCTGCCTGCCTTCGGAGCCAGAAAGGATGGGACTTGGGATGTGCTGGTTTCAATGGAGGTCAGGAGACGTCTAGGGCAAGGGTGAACAAATTATGGTATGTAGCCCCGATCTGGCCTGGTGCCTGTTTTTGAGATACCTTTTCGCTGGCACACAGCCACACCCATTCATGTTGTTGGAGGCTGCTTTGTGCTACAGTGGTGGATTTGAGTCATTGCACTATAAACTGCAAGGCTGCAAGGATTAAAATATTAACTCTCTGGCCTTGTACAGAGAAAGTTTGTAGGCTCCTGGTATAGAGCATGAAGTGCTTCTTAGAAGGCAAAATGGGGGACTGGAAGAGATGGAAGAGAGAGTGAGATATTGAATAGAAACGAGAAATCTGAGGGAGAAATGTACCATGAAGATAATAGACACGCTCCACAGAGAAACCACCGCTACTGCCACTTCCCTCTCTCCTCCTCCTCCTGAGAGCAAGTATGCCTTCTCCTCTGTCTTCTTAAAGGAGTGTGGAGAGAATGAGTGAGCAGCCCTCCGTGCCCTCCCCAAGAGGGCACATGGCTAGCCTAGGAGGTGGTTGTCTTCCCCACCTTCTCCATTGGTTCACGATGGGACAGCAGCTCTTTGCAGATGTGCACACAGTCCCAGGCAAGGCTGAGTACAGGGACAGCCGCAAGAGGACCACAGAAGGTCCTCAGTTATCCTGCCTCTGGGGCTCTGAACAAACTTTAGAAATCACACCTGCCTTCTAGAACTAGCCTCAGCTCCCTCTCTTTCTCTCCCCTCTCACAAGCATTCACAGGCTCACCTTGCACAAAATCAGGGTCATTTCTGGAGAGAGAGAGAAATGAACACTGGTAGTGTTAAACCTTAACTCAGATCCCCATTGATAGGACATGACTATTAACTGCAAACACATGTCTAGGACCAGGAATATGTCCTTTTTGTTGAAATCATAATAATGATGATGATTGTTATTTATTGCACACCAATCCCTGGATGGTGCTAAACCCATTACATACATCATCTCATTTAATAATTTCAATAACACTTGCTTTTTTCCCTGATGACAAAATTGAATTTTGAGAATATGTTCAAAGTCACACGTAATAGCTGAGAGAGCCAGAATTTAAGCTTGATTTTATATGACTTCGAGGCTTATGCTTATAAGTACCACGTCATGTTGCTTTCCTGGACGTTGTCAACATATCTGAATTATTACCATTATTTTAGATTTTATATTTCCATTAGTTACATGAATCCTGCCTATCACCATACATGTGCATTAAACTGTCAGAGGAATGAGTGGTAAAAGAATCTGACCATAAGACATTTGCAAGTACCATTTTATTGACATAACTGGTATAAGAGATGAGGTTTTTGAAGATAATAAAACTGTGTTTGAAAATGTATTCTATCCCAAGGATTTCTCAGCTCTCACATTCAGAGCTGGCCCACAGACACAGTGCCCCTTCATTGCCTGCCTGGCAGGACATCAGCATGATCCTCGGGGTGCAGTGTTAGGCCCAATTTCCTCGGAAATGTCACTGAAGGCATCACCAGGGCCGGAGGAACACTGTCTTCACTCTGGAGAGTTCACCTTTGAGAGAATTCCAGGCTCACATAGGGATTTGTGGGGGGCAGTCTCCACAGTGGGTGGCATGGGCCTAGCTGTGTAGACAGGGGCTTTCTTTCTTCTGCCTTTTATTCCCTTGTGGGATCTTCTTATTTTTCTTGAGGCTTATAGTTGTTTTTTCTTTAATTTTGTTTTATTTCCTTGCTTATTTATTTATTTTTTGTTGTTGTTGAGACAGAGTCCAACACTACACCCTGAGCAGAGTGCAATGGCATCATAGCTCACTGCAACCTCAGACTCTCGCTGTGGGTATCCTGTTGCCTCAGCCTCCAAAAGCTGCTGGGATCCCGGAACTTGATGGGGCACCCAGTTGGTTTTTTTTTTTTGTTTTTTTTTTTTTATGAATCAGGGTCCCACTCTCACTCAGGCAAGTCTTAAACTCCTGAGCTCAAGCAGTTCTCCCTCCTCAGCCTCCCACAGTGGCTCCCACGTGCCTGGCTGTAGTTCTTAACTGCTTGTTTTTTCCTTGCCATTCTGAAAACCTCCTTCTAGAAAGATTTTACAGGCCTAAACACCCAGAGAAGACTGAGATCCACTTTGGAAAAGAGTAACCTTGGAGCCGAAGGTGTCAGAGCAGCCATGCCTTTTCACGAGGCTTCTTGTTCCAGTCTCTTCTTTAATCCTTTGGGTTTTATTTTTGTACATGTGGGTGTCCTGTGGAGAGGGATGAGGCAAGGGGAAGACATCCTTTCCACAGCATGAATCACAAGCACGAGCACCTGTGTGCTTTGCACCTGATGGCACCACTTCTGTGTCAGCCACTGGGCGGGTGTCACTGTCTTCTGTCTGCTGGAGAGGAACCAAGGCTCAGTGACATGAGGTGACTTGCGTATGGCTGCACTTACAACTTGGGGGCAGATCTGAGATGGAAACCTAAGCCTGCCTACTTCAGTTCCTTTTCAATTATATTAAAATGGTCATGTCTGTAAGAAGTCCCAATGTGGTGTTCCTTTGTGTTCAAATGTGTATGTTTAAATGTTCGTTAAAAGCAGAAGCCATTGTCCTCTCAGATGAAATAAACTTTTTGGCTCTGGTAGCTAACATGTAAACCAGAACAGTATGTGCAGATGAGCATCCTTTGTGGAGGAGGGCAGGAATGGGGAAGAGGCTGTGCGGGTCACACTCAGCAGGTCCGTCCATGGCTTTCTCAAAATGGCCAGAAGGGGCTGGCACAGGAGAAGCCCTCGGCAAAAGTTTTCACTGGAGGAAAGAGGACAGCCCAGCTCTGTGAGGACCCAAAAATAAATGAGAGTCTTGTTAGACAAGCTCCAATGTCTTTTATGCCGAAGGGAAAAAGATGTCTCTCTCACTAGGGCATTTCCTGACCCTAGAAGCTCCTTGCAGGAATATGGCATCTGTGGGATGTGAGAAGCACCCTGGAAACAAAGGTGATGCCTACTGGAGCAACGGTTCTCAACCTGTGGGTCACGAACTGTATTAAAGGGTTGCAGCATTAGGAAGGTTGAGAACTACTGTACTAGAGGCTTTGTTTCCTTTACAAGTTAGCCCTTGCTCTGCTCACTGATTTTAGAGTTGATGTTATTCACATAATTGTGGTTACTTTAATAGGGAGTTGTTCTTTATAGATAAGAAATTTTGGCTGATTAGAATTGTGTGTCCATAGTCAATTATCTGTAACTGTAGGTAATCTAATGCTGGTTTTCTGTGACCTTTTAAACAGTAATATTTTCTACCTGGAAGTGGCTAGAATTTTAGACATAGCGTCTAGGAAGTAATTAGTAACTTCTCCAGGCCTAGTCTTGAAAAATGATGATCTAAAAACTAATACTTACTGAGCACTTAACTATATGGCAAGCAGCTTTCTGAGTGTCTTGTTGGCATAAACTCTTTTAATCCCCACAACAGCTCCTACTGGATCACTGTTTTGCAGATGAGTAAATTAAGTCATACAGAGTGAAGGTCAAGGTCACACATGTAGGGAATGTGGAGCCCGGTGTCACGCTGTGATGAAGTCCTGTGGTGTAATGGTGGGTATTCTGATTCCTGCCTTTGGGTTTTCTAAGCCCCTTCCTGGAAGCTTTCAAATCCTACCAGATAGGACTTGCACTCATACATAAGGCCATCCTGGGAATGTGGACGCCAGGGCCTTGTTGTGGAATAAAATACAGCTGCAAGAAATGGCTTTTGGTGACTCAAAGCATTGCCCTTTGCTTCTTTTAGGTAAAAGTGATGATGAAGAAAGTCTTTGCAAGTCAGCCCATGGGGCAGGGAAAGGGGCAGCTGAGGACGGCAAGGATCATAAGCGCCCCAAACGTCCCAGGACCATCTTGACCACCCAACAGAGGAGAGCTTTCAAGGCCTCATTTGAAGTGTCCTCCAAGCCCTGCAGGAAGGTAAGGAGCAAGAGCCGAGGCAGGGCCCACTTCTCTGCATACACCTAACTCCTCTGGCATGTGGGGGTCAGAGCCATCAGGAAGGTGTGTTCAGATGGAGCCTATGCAGGTGGCCTTGAGCCTGTGGGAGACTCTAGGGATCACTAATCGATGCCCAGGGAGGTACCATAATCTCTTCATGCTTTCATGCATGTATACTGACTCCAAATGGCCCTAGCTCATACCATTCATTTCCTGGAGAGTGGGGGGAGCAATGATAATAATAATAGGTGGCAGCTGTGCTATAACAAGAGTATGAACAGTGGCTATATTATGTATTCTTCCCTCGACCTTGCTTGTTGCACTTGATGGGGTGGTTTTGGGGTTCAACCACGTTATGCCTCAGTCCTTCTTGTTGTTGGATGGTATTGCGCCAGCGTGCCACAGTTGGCTTGTCCGTTCACCTATTGGTGGTTATTTGGATTGTATCCAGTTTGGGGCAATTAAAAATAGGGCTGCTGTGAACATATGTGTAAAAAATATATAGTGGCTCAATGAAATGGGGGTTTATTCTTCTTATGCCATAGTCCAGGGGTGAGCAAGCTGAGATTGGTGGGGCAGCTCTATTATCCATCACATGGGTTCAAGTGGCTGCTCCAGTTGTCCCCCTGTTTACCAGCCACCATGGTATAAAGAGGAAGTGAGGGCAGCTGCCTTCTTTTAGGACATACTCAGGTGTTGCTCAGTTCATTTCTACTCATATGTGTTGGGCAAAATTTAGTCCAGTAGACAGACTTCCTGCAAGGGAAGCTGGAAAATGAGTCTACCTGGGCAAGCACATGTCCTGCCGAAACCTGGAGATTCAGTTACTGACTAAAGGAAGGAGAGCATGGATATGGGGCACAAAGAGCCATCTCTGCCTCTGATAGCTGTGCCCATTTATTGAGTACTTGTCATTTATATACTGCCTACCATATGGGGGCACTGTCTTTTACACAAAATAAAAAAAGGAAAGAAAGTATTCTGTATTGAAATTCGCAAAGGAAATATGTTGTAAAAACATCGTCGTATCACCTGCATCTCTGTCTCTATCAGTCAGCTTTAGCTGTAATGAAAAACAACCCAAAGTCTTAGTGGCTCCCAACAAACATTTATTTCCTTCTCTGGGACTGTGCATTAGCTGTGGCCCAGTGGGGATCAGGTTCGAGTCTGCTCCATCTGCCTCTCCTTCAAGGATCCAGGCTGAAGGAGCAGTGATCTCCTGACATATCATTCTCCTAAGGATGGCAGAAAGTCAAAGGCCAAGCCAAAGCTGAAAACCTCTTGCTGGATATCACGCACTTCACACTCCATGGACCAGAGCAAGGCATGGGCTTGGCCCAAGATGGATGGAGTGGTTGGTGAAGCACACCCAGCCCCCATCCTTGGAACAGGTGGGGAGAAGCTTGGGTACTCGGTGAACAGAGTATAGTCCACCACAACTTCTGACCTTTGAAAATATTCAGTTGCAAACTCTTTCCTTCCCTGAAGTTGCAGATCTCTATGCTCCAAGGGAGGTACTGGTGGAAATGAAATATTCCAAGATGGACTTGCAATGGGGTAGATTGTAGCCTTCCTCATTGACTACGTGTACTGAACCCCAACCCCAGTAGTGGTCTCCTCCTGGGTTCTGGTCTCCAGGCAGCTTCCAGGCCACCAGCAAGGAGAGAAGGCATATGTATGTTTACTGTAACACCAGAGAGAGCTTGGAGGGCCACAGCAGAGGGGCAGCTGGGAGCCACAGTGAAGAGAAAGGTCATTCTGGTCTGGGGAATCAGGCCTGGCTTTGTGGAACAGGTGGCTTTTGAGCTGGGCCTCTCAGGAATGGATAGGGTTTCAGCAGGTGGAAGCCGGTCCCTGTGTGCAGTCCTACTTCAGTTGGCTTAACAGAAGGATGTGCTTTAAAAACCTGGTCTAATCATCCTACTTCTTCTAAGCCTCAGCCCAAGTGGCAGTGTAAAGGTGACACCTCCTTTTGCTTCCCTCATGCGTTTATTCAAGGAGCTCTTTCAACCACCCACCACGAATCTAATCAGAAGGCATGGTGTCCTCCCAGGACCACTCTATGAAAGTCTATGCTTCTTGCCCTGTCTCCTCTTGACAACGTGCCAGCCCCTCACTGTGTGCCTGTATGGTGGGCAGATGTTTAAACGCATCTCTTTATTATCTGGATCTCACTTGTCCTGTCTCTGCTGGCCCCAGGACATGTGCCTGCATCAGAGTTGACCACCTCCTCGCTCTGCCACATTCCAGATTGCTCTTATCTTATTCTCCCTGGGCAGGGCTTACTTAGGATAGCAGTGAATACGAATATTCATGTAACACCCAAAGGCCCCTAGAGCTATGAGGGACAAAACCAAAATATTAGGTGAATGAAATTAGGAAAGAAACCAGAGCAAGAGAGAACCATTTGTTTTTTGCAAAGTGATTTTCACTCTCAGGTCTCCTTAAGTCGGTTCATGTATATGCATGACCTACAGCTAAAGACTTCCCTAAAGTCTAAGAGCCACCTGAGGGCTTAATTTTCAGGGTCAGAGAAATCTAGAAACACCTCTTGGGAACAAGCATCGAAATTAAGGACTGTCTCTTTCTTTGTTCACTTGGTGAAAGACTCTCTCTTTATGTACAAGAAAGGAAGCATATTCCGTTTTTCAAATCAAACATTTAGTTTATTATATCTCAAACAAGAAGCAATACAATTAATCAAACTATCTGCCTAGACTATTGCTACATTGTTGCCATCTTCACAGCAGCTGAGGAAGCACATTTGAGTTTATGCTGAGCCCTAAATAGTAGCCAGCTCCTACAGAGGACAGTCTGTTGGCTCCCCCCATACCATGTAGGGAATGCTCTGTAAGGCTTCTTTATTTTTTTTTTAATTTAGAAATAAAGCTTTTATTTGTATATATCTTTCTGTATTTCTAATGTTCACTTTTTTCAAGGTGAGAGAGACTCTGGCTGCAGAGACAGGGCTGAGCGTCCGTGTTGTTCAGGTGTGGTTTCAGAACCAGAGAGCCAAGGTAACCTGCTTCTCACTTCTGTCTGTCCCTGTGTTGCTGGCATCCTAAAATAATAGCAGCAGGATATCATGCGTGTTGCCAGGTTTTCTACCCTGAACTCTTTGGGGGCAAATAGTTCTCCTGATTCAAAAACTTCTGTTACCGGCAATCATTTCAGCCAAAGCAGCCCTGCAGAAGGGGTGAGACAGGGCATGTGTTTCAGTGCAATGGCTTTTATGACTGTGTTTCTGGCCAGCCATCTGCACGAATAAATGTCTTTCTGTGTCTTTTGCTAAAAGCATGTTCTTGAATTCACATTTATTTAATCCAGATATCAAAGTCCTTTTAGAATTTCAAAGGAAAACCCAGGGAGCACATGAAGAGCTGGTCTAAGACACCAGCCTGACAGGGTGGAGTGAACATCTCCACTCGCCTCTCCAGCCCTCACCACAGTGGGCCAAAACCAGAAGTTCTAACCTTCTAGTCTTGCCTTAGTCTTTCTGGTGACCACCCCCTTTATCCTTAATCTATCTAGGGGCTGCAGCCACCAGTCAGTCATTAGCATACAAGAAGACGTCATTTTGGAGATCACCAAAATTTTAGGAATTGTATGCCAAAAAGACCAAATGTATTTTACAGTATCATACGTGATAAATTACTATCTCATTGTTATCATAATTGGCTAAGGTAGCATTTCCCTAACTGAACTCCTTAGAATAGGCCTACTGATGTGATATTCCATCAGGAAAAGACTCCGTGGTGGAGTTTGAGAGGCCTTTGACTTGTGGATTCATTCCGCAGAGGAGCACATTTAAAGCTCTAAGAAATCTCGTAGTGAGGAAATTTTTTAAGCATCTGGTATTTCACATACACACTCAAAGTATATGTTGACGTCTCATAGAACTCTAATGCTCCACAGAGCACAGTTTGAAAAACATTGGGCTAAGCCACTTTGAGAGACACAGTCTTGACCCAGAGACATGAATCTCAGGGTAGGCTCACCTCAAACACAAAGGCCAGCAGTCACAAGGAGAGGGGAAGGGAACAGCCTCTGGGCTCACCCCAAATTATTCTATTAGCAGCCCCATGCTTTGTATGTCCACGCTGGGCTACAGACCCCACAGTCACACACTTATTCCCTTGTGTAAAACTGTCACAACACAAGCAGCAAGTTTTATTTGCTGGGGAGGAGTCCCTGTTCCTGCTAAGACAAGCCACATCACCAAAGTCGAGGAGCCCTCAGCTGAGCTGCTTCACACATGAACCACTTACCGTGTTCCTCAACTGCAGCTCTCTTACTGATCAAATGCCAGGGAAAGAGTCCTTCTGCCTTACAAAGAAGCCCCCTCCTGGAGAGGGAGTCACCTTCGGGTTCCCCTTACCGTGGCAACTGGCCACAGGCTACCCACCTTCTCATCCTGTGATCCTCTCCTCATCAGATGAAGAAGTTGGCCAGGCGGCAGCAGCAACAGCAGCAGGATCAGCAGAGCACCCAGAGGCTGAGTTCTGGTAAGCCAGCAGCTCCTCCTGGCTGCTCCCTGCTGGCATCCAGGCCGCTCCTGCCAGAGTTCCCCTACCACCCAGCTCTCTGACTGACATGTCAGTGAAGCCCCTTCCACACCCAGTGGAGAGATAAGGCCTTCAAGTGAGGACTAAGCCATGAGGAACTTGAGAGTGGGTTGAAAGTACCTGGGCTTTAGGCGAGAACTGATGATTACAGGAGCCCCCACTCCTGGATCCTTCCACGGTGTCAGGGGAGTGTTCTACGCACATGTACCCTGGTGGCACGAAGATTGGGGAAGGCAGTGAAGAAGATAGGTTGTGGGAGTCTTTAACGAAGTTAAAAGAAAACACCCAATAATAATTATATTGGAACAACGTCATTCTTAAAAAGACATGCCCCTCCCCAACCCAGCCAATGAGGAGATGCCATGAATGGTCTGTACCTTAGAGCAGGGCTTCTCCCATTTTAATGTGCGCATAAATCACCCGAAATCTTAGTGTTTGAGAACAAAAACTCAGAGATCCTGGTACTTCAACTAAAGTATTCTAAGAGCAGTTCCCAGGGTGGACTGAAGGGGGTAATGGATGGTGGGAAATAGAGTCTCTGTCCTCCTCATGTTCGGAGAACTGTGCACAGCAAGACATGGAGGTAATAACTGAGTCCTCCTTCTTTATAAAATTCTGCACATATGCATAGCAGGTGGTAGTCCCAGGATATGTCCATGCCCTCTGATGGAATCTTAAGATCCTCCCTTGAAGTTAGCTGGGCCAGTGCCATGATTTTCACTTGACCCATGGGGCTCACGGTGGGTTAACGAGGGAAGGATCTTTACATTTATCCAAGCCAGTGGCTGTCAAACCTGTGTGCAGCATCAAAACCCCTTGTTTCCATGTCAAGGATGTTCTCAAACTTCAGCTGCCCGCCCTCACCCCCATCCTTTCCTCCAAGGCAATCCCTGACAGCTTTTGGTGGGCACAGGCTGGCAACCATGGATATCACCTCATCTCATTCCATTTTATAAGTGAGGACAGCAGGACCCAGGGAAGTGACATGCTGGGCTGTGCATTGAGAATGACCCGTCTCCTCCTCTGTCCCACAGCTCAGACTAACGGCAGTGGGAGCGCTGGGATGGAAGGGATCATGAACCCCTACACGGCTCTACCCACCCCACAACAGCTCCTAGCCATTGAGCAGAGTGTCTACAGCTCAGACCCCTTCCGGCAGGGTCTCACCCCACCCCAGATGCCTGGAGACCACATGCACCCCTATGGTAAGAAGGTTTATGGGCCTCTCACACACTGTGGGGTTTTCTTTCTCTCCGAAATGCATCTATGCAGTTTTTAGAGGCTCAGCAAAATTCCAAAGCAGAATAAGTGCCCCACAAAACACTGTCTGAATCACCTAGCCGGTGGTCACAGAAGGTGGACCCACACGCATATTAATTAGTGATGATTTCCTTTATTCTTGTTTTCAAAGCTCTTTGTTTGTTATTTTTCAATGGAATATTATGTTTTTATTGTAGACCTGTGTATTGACACTGAATTCAACCATCTTGTGTTTCATGCCAGACACCGCACTGACATATCTGCAAGAATATCAGTGCTGATATAGGCAAAAGGTCTTCATGGAGCAAACCTTTACCTAAAAAAAGAAAATACATAAAAAGCATAGATAAGCACTGTGCTACTATGGATACGAATAGATGCTCTAATTTATGAAACATAAACTGACTTGTAGTATCCCCCCTGTACCCAGTCCTTCCAAACTGATATTGATTTGAATGTTGTACACGAATAGCCAAGCCTTCCCACTTGTCCAGCTTACTGCTTAAGCTAGTAGACACCAGCTGGGGCCCAGAAGACCCTGGTCCGTGAGGTGAAGTCTGTAGTGAATGCTCAAGTTCAATCTTGGGGCCAAATATAGTCTATTTTTAAATAGAGAAAGCCAGTGGTGCACATAATGCATTGATCTATGTGTAATCTGTGACAAATTATCCTAATAGTTGAAAAATAAAGTTTTATTCAGCAAACCTTCAAAATATTAAGTATCAGAGATATATGCCTTGGCTCATAGATTTTGTCAAACTACTTCTTCTTTGTCTTCAGTGAAAAAAATTTGTTGTTAAAATGGCCCCCACCTTCCCCTGTCACATAGTCAGTGAACAGTCAGTAAGACCTGCCCCCACCCCCACCCCCAGGCTCTTCATAGGCCAAGCTCATTCACTGATACATTCACAGATATAGTGCACGCTCCAGTGACCATTTGGCTTCCTTAGAAGACACTTGAATAATTCTTGGGAAAAGGGGCAAATGCATGTTTCACAGATTCTTAAATGTTTAGAGTCTTGTTAAGTTATTTAAAGGACCCCCTGACATACCTGTTCGTAAGATGAATAATTAAAGCCCTATGGCAAGTTTTGTAAATTTCAACCTTCACCTCTTCCGCTTTTACCGAGGCAAAGCAGAACCTCCAGGTTCTGGCCGCAGTGCCCTCAGCTGTCCTGCAGTGTGCGGTGCTGACTTCTCCGTCAAGTCTATAAATCAGCTGAGGGCAGGCACCTCACCTGGCTTTACTTTCAGGACAGATCTGGGAAAGAGCTTGAAAGGACAGACGTTACCCCTGAAGGTTTCATTAGCCTCACTCCAAGAGCTGATGTTTATTTTGTACAGTCCCTCCTCCCAGCACCATTTTGGAGGCCCCCATCCCTCAGGAGGCCTGCCCCCTCCCTCCAGCCTCTGGTGCCCTGTCCCGCCTACGCCACACACTCCCGGTGCAGACAGCCTGACATTTGTACGCTGGCTGCTCTCACGTTAGCACTTTGTCATATCCTAGTTTACAGGGTGTGAACTTGTTGCACTTTGGATATGAGCCCTCCTACAAGAACTGTAGACTTTTTGCGGGCAGGGACTATGTCCCCTCCTACTTTTCTACGCAGTTAAACTTCAACCTCCACCCTCTTGAGAAAGTTTTACCTGGGGTGGGGCGGGGTGTGCTCAGGCATTGTGTGCTGGATTCAGCTGAATTTCCTGGCACTGAGCTGTGTCCCTCTCTCTCCAGACCCTCATGCCGGTGTCTCATCTCCATTTCAGGTGCAGAGCCCCTTTTCCATGACCTGGATAGCGACGACACCTCCCTCAGCAACCTGGGTGACTGTTTCCTAGCAACCTCCGAAGCCGGGCCCCTGCAGTCCAGAGTGGGAAACCCCATCGACCACCTGTACTCCATGCAGAATTCCTACTTCACCTCTTGAGTTCCCCTAGAGTTCCGTGGTTAGGCTCCCATACAGAACCACACCACGCAAGGGGGTCACTGGCTTTAGGATGGGGAGGCCAGTGAAGAGGTGGGATGGGGAGGGAGTTTTGTTGGGGATGCTGTTGTATAATGATATGGTGTAGCTCGGCATTTCCAAAGACTGAATACATTATGGATTGCATAGTTTAATGTTTCTAATAAGAGTCTTAGCATTAGATGTGAAGATGTGTTTATCATTAAGGACAGGGACTTTTAAGCTAGACATTCTCTTGTAAACTAGATACTAGGGACTCCTAACAACTTCCCACCATTTTGGGGAAGCTTTTGTCAAGAGGTGCATATGTCTCTCCACCTATACATACACCCATAGACCGAGGGACAGATAGATGTGTGTGTGTGTGTGAGTGTGTAACTTTTCATACTTTATCATCAAAGTTTATTCCTAATTATAACAGACACCAACTGTACAGCAAAAGTAACTTTATTTTCAGTGTGAGCTATATTTAAGGAAATGCTTGATGCACTTAAGTTATAAAATGAGATAATTTACTTTTATAAACTTTATTTTTAGTTTGGAGAGACGCGTCGGCAGGGCAGAGAGGGCCACTCCACCCAGCCCCCGAGCTCTGAGTGCTTGAGTCCATTCTGTTTTCAGAGTGTCATTGAGGTGGCTGACGGTGTTCTCTACTGGATTCCTGCTCCCTTTGAGGTTGAATCACTGGGCTTGGGGGGGACACAACAATCCCCCATCATGTTCTTAGAAAATGGAAAGCCCATACTTTGGGGCTTTATTTAAATTCAGACATGTGGTTGCTGGGCAGTGGTAGGAAGGTCACTTCTGCTCTGGAGCTTCAGCGTCTGCCCATGTGGATGAGGCTGACTGCATGTACCTACCTCACTGGGAAACACCAAGGCTAGTCCACCCCCAGGTCACACGAACAAGGCTGAGATTAACATCTGACACTTGGTTAAAGTGCAACCCCTCACCTGGCAAGGGAGGATGCCTAGGGCTGCAGCAGGAGGGCAACTCTGCCTGCCCAGGTCCCTCTGCAAAGCTGACAAAGATGTCAGTTCAGGGTGGCTCAGAGGGACACCAGAGTCCTTTGAGGGGAGGAAGCTAAGGCTGCAGGGATGAATGAGGGCATGGTGTGTTCCAGAGCAGGGATGGGCTAATTACTGCCTGCAGGCCTATATTTTATGGCTTGCCAGCTATGAATGGTTTTTACATTTGTAAAGGTCATTAAGAAAAGAAGACAAAGAAGAAGAAGAAGTGACAGGGTGTATGTAGCCCAGAAAGCCTGAAATATTGCTACCTGTATTATCTGGCTCTTTATAGAAAAGACTGGGGTCCCTGTTTTAGAGGGCCTGTTTCTGAAGAGCCCCACGGATTTTGTGGAGGCAGAGAATCTGGGTGGAAACCCAGGGTGCTTCCTTCCGACTCACTTCTGTGACTCTCAGCACAGAGGACCCAGCAGCCATTGTACATGGGGACAGTTCCATACCCTGGTCTCCAGCTGTGGTGCTAGGATGGGCTCTTTTTGTGCTAGAAGGCCTCTGAGAGTGCCGTGACAGGCAGCCTCACTGCTGGGGATGCCACCAGAGACTTGAACACAGTGACACATCTCCATCACTCTCTGCATGGCCAGAGGGAGTGCGTCCTCTCATGGTAGAGTCTATGTCGTGTGATTTTTGTGCTCTTGTTTGTAATTTATGCAAGCCACCAAGAAACCCAAGCCAGTCTGGTGAGTGAAAATGATGCAGATGCTGTGTGGCTCCGCAGTTTGCTGTGGGAAAGACCCGTTGGAGAATGTAGCAAGTCCCATGTGAGTGAAAACAAATAGAGATCCTGATTCCACTCCTTAATGGCATACCGAGATGCAATTAAAAGCCTCTTACGAATGAGCTGTTGTTTATTCAGGGTGGGATGGTGGGCCGGGAAACAGGGGAACACGGGAGTTTTGTCCACTGAGCCGCGGGGATGAGGATATGGCAAAGCTTTAAATGAATGGAAGGAATAACAGCAAAACACACAGGGAAAAGCGTCTTTCACCTCTTGCCCAGAGGGAAGGAGACCTTAGTCTTTACGAAAACCCTCACAGAAGGAGGCACTGGGAACCTTCCGTCGTCATCGTCAAGCTCACATGTGGCAGAGAAGTTTGTGACACACACTGGGTGAATGTTGGCTTGGAAGTCAGTAGAGTCATGAGGCAGGAGAGGGATCACTCAGGCAGGGCTAGGGGCAGATGCCGGGTCAGGAGGGAAAGCAGAGCAGCTGACACCGGCTCCTGCCACTCTCTCCTTCCAGGCCCTCTCTAGAGAACTCCCAGAGTTCTCAACAATTTTAATGTGATGTATGGGTGGGCAACAAATATTCCTGTGAGAGGAAGAAAGGAAATGGTGTGAATATAAGACCAGGAGACATACTCACAGGGTGGCATCATTTTTTATCTGTCTTCTTCCAATCCACAATTTTTTTTTTTTTTAAAGAGAGACAGAGTCTTACTTTGTTGCCCTCGGTAGAGTGCTGTGGCGTCACAGCTCACAGCAACCTCCAGCTCCTGGGCTTAAGTGATTCTCTTGCCTCAGCCTCCCAAGTAGCTGGGACCACAGGCACCCGCCACAACACCTGGCTATTTTTTTGTTGCAGTTTGGCCAGGCCCTGGTTCAAACCCTCCTCCCTCAGTTTATGGGGCTGGCACTCTACTCACTGAGCCACAGGCGCTGCCCCCCCAATCCACAATTATTTGAACTCTACAACATATCCCTCTGGCTTACCCACCCCATTAGGAGCTGTTCTAAGAGAACCTGGAAGGAGGGAGATGTATAAAGCCAGGCAGGCAGGAGGAGCTCACCAAGAAAGCCTTATCTCAGACTGGCTTCCACTGGGTTGGCCTTGGTCCCCAACTCCAGCTTCCAAAGACAGCCTAGGCACAAGACCTCCACCCCTGTGTCTCCCTAAGGCAACTACTTATCCTTCAGAATCAGTGTACTTGGCCTTCTTGAAGAAGTCTGCAAAGCTGGGTTAGGCACCCACATGGAATACTTAGGCTAATGTTACCCAGTACAATAAAAAACTGCCCAAATTGTATCATAGCTCATACATGATAGAAATTTCCTTTTTTTTGCCGTTTTTGGCTGGGGCTGGGTTTGAACCCACCACCTCTGGCATATGGGGGCCAGTGCCCTACTCCTTTGAGCCACAGGTACCACCCAGAAATTTCCATTTTTTTTACTCACATAAACATAAAAGACCTGAGAGGGATTTGGGGTAGAGGACACTTCTCTTCCATGCACAATAGAGGCTCTGTTCTTGGCTTCCAGGCTGTCACTGGGGATTGGTCATCTCTGTTCTTCTTTTTTCCTGGTTGGAAGTGGCTGTGTCTGGACCAGACTAGCTGTGTGGCCTCAGGAAAGTTCCTGCACTCTGATTCCTCTGTAGAGTGCAGGGCTGATGCTTGTCACTAGTTCAGAGGGATTGTGAGGATAGATGACAATGCATGCCAGGTTTCTGCCCTGCACTGGGTGTGTGGCAGGAGGCAGAGTCACGTTGGCTGCTGTGCTGTGGCTGCAGACCTGCGCCCGGGTCTGGTCGTTGATGGAGGGCTTATGGGAAGGGAAAGAACACACCTGAGCTGGGAGGCTGCTTGTCGCTTCTCACCATAACCTCCTTAAACCTCAGGGTGGCCCATACACAGCCTGGTGGGGGGCAGTGGTTTGTGCTTTGTTTTATAACAGGCAGATAAAAAGCCAACTATGGAGACATATTCAGAACTCTAACTCCAAGGATGAGCGATCAGGTCACAGGATAAGCGATCAAGTCACCATTGTCACCTGCTTTCCATGACCTGTGTCAAGGAGGAAGACATCATGGCTGGGATTGGAGGGGACAGCCTGGGTCCCTAAGCTGAGCCTTCACTGCCTCGGAGAAACTGGAGTTGATCTAACATGAATCGAAAACTGGAAGAGGATGAAGTCGGTTTGTCACTTCCAACCTCAAAGACAAAATAAATTTTTAACTGTACTGTGAATGAAATTAAAGTTTGCCTATCTCTCTCACCCTCTCTTTCTTTCTCCCTTTAAATCAATCCAAACTAGGATGAAAGCCAGTCTGATTTAACTAGAATAAATCTGTAACATCAACTAAAAGTGAATCAGAACTGAATTAATGCGCTGTTTTCCTGTACTCCTTTGTTTATCATGTTGAGACGTGATGTTCAGTTATAAGAAAGTGAGAGCTATTTTTAGGGCGAAGACCTCGAGACATTTTTATATTCAAAATATAGGCCCTCTATTTATAGATGGAGTGGAGAATTGGAGATTATCTGGTCTTGAAGTTTCCTAGGTGTGTAACTTTCAGCAAGACACTGAGCCTTCGTTTCTGCATCTGTAAAATGGGGCCAATGTCACGTGCCTGTTTTATGGGTTGATTGCTGCAAGCATCAAAGGCAATAATTAGGAAATTATTCAGCTGTGCAGAATGTGACGTGGAGGGCTTTTCATATTTTGTCTCGGGAGGCCTGTGCAGATCAGCCTCTTGGGGAGCACAGCCTCCATGTAAATGAGGCTCCTGCATGATGGGTGCCCCCAGCAAGGAAGGTATCCCCCACATTAGAGTGTGAGTAACCCATTTCCTCCTCCAGCCACTGTGGATTACTCTGCCACCACTACCTGGTGGGCCTTCTACCCTCTGAGAGAGGATTCTGGAAAAGAGCCCAGAGTGGCGCACCCCTGGTGGGTGGCGCATTAGCTCACCTGGCGCTGCCTTTAACCTCTCTGCTGGCACCCCATGCTCCTGGAAAGGGAAAGGGAGAGCCTGCCCCTGACTTGTGGCGGGAGGGACCTACCGTCACTAGTTGTCTGACCCATTTGGCCCTTTAAGCACCTTCTTCATTTAATTTATTCACCCGTTTCATTTTTCCAATAAGTATTTCTTAAACCCCTAGAATATGCCAGGTTCTGGGACAGAGACAGGGACAGGAGTGACCAGAAAGACATTGT